TCATGTAATTCATTCAGAATTAAGAATTCATATTTCTGATTCTATAGTTGGAACTATCTCAGAATTCTATGTCCTATTTGACATTAGTTTGGCTTAAAAATTGCCTTACGTCTCAATCAATCAATTTGATGGTGACCAAGAACTTCCTTTCAATTTACAGTTTGATACTGGCCAGAGAATGGAAAGTAAAAAGCCATAGCACATGCCATATATATGATCCATGGACTTATCAAATTCAAATTTAATAGAGACTCTAAAACAACCATTTGGCCTTTATACCCCAGGTTTTTTCTAATACTTTATCAGAGATATCAATGACACTTCAAACTCAGTTCACTGACTGATATAAACAGCAACCTACTTCAACAAATAGAGAACTCAGAGATAAATTAAAAGGGCTTGGAATTTTTTGGAAGTGAAAAAATACGTGTAAAAAATGAATTTCTAATAGTCACAGGACAAAAGTAGACAGAATCTCCCATTACAGTAAAATTTAAAACAATTCAGTTGGTTCTTTTAACCATCATTATGGTCTCATCAAGAAATAAGGAAGAATATCATTAAGTGGATATACCCTTTATGTAAAAGCTGAATACATTTTGAGGGCTGAAATCCCTGCTAGTAATAACTTCATTAATGACTTACTGTTGATGAAAGATATCCTATACCAAAGGTTTCCTCTGTTCGCCCCAAGCAGATGGAGTAAGGGCTCTGAGTCAACCTGACTTCTCTCTGCATGATGTTAAGCACTCTGTGGCTTCATGGCCTTGGAACCCTGTGAACCCCTGGAAACCAAACTTACCCAAGTGGTTGTGTAAATTATACATAGTAAATGTAAAGTGCTTAGCATAGCACATAAAAAGTACTCAAGACACTTTGTTGAGTAAATGAATATTTTGCTCTAAATATGGGCCACAAGATCTACTAAACAAATTAGGTTGTAAAACTTGCCAAGGGGTACCCTCTGTGTATTTGGTGGAGGAAAGAGGAAAGAGATTTTTTTTAATGATTGAATTATTTTACTTACCTTTAGGACCTTTTTTTGCCAACCTTTGGGTTTTGAGTTTGGGGATCTTAGAGTCACAGGAAGAAGAAATAGATAGCTCCTGTGATGCTGGCTATATTCTCATAGAGCCCAAAAAGTTAGGGAGGAGATAAATTAGAAAGTATGAGAGGGTAGCATGTTGGGGAGGTTTCTGACCAGTTGTTTTCTAGGCCAAAGCAAGTAATCCAATGACTTCTTGCATTAAACTCATCATTGATTTAATCAAAGATAAATCATATTTCTATTATGTTTATAGTAATAGAAATTCTACAAGTAAGAGATGAGAGAAACCTTTAACCTTTAAGTTTTTCTTAAAGAAAGCCATTCTTCCTGTTCTTATGATTTCTAATGTGAGCTATACTACTTTCAAAACAGGAGATTCTTTAGGGTACAGAAGAGAGAAAAGGAATTCACTCAAAACATGATTTTCTATGTAGTTCATCAATGAATAAAGAAAGAAACTAGAAAAAAAGGGGAAGAAATGAGTGAGTGTAGTATACTTATTTCAGATATAAGATGTGCTTCCAGGTACAGCACTAGATGTACAATTTCATTCTAGAGTTTTGCTCACTGGTACTTACTATCTATGGAACTACAGTCACTACAGAACCAGGGCATTGAAGCCCAAGGTTAATACAGATTGTAGGGAGCAGATAAAATTGGATCCAAGTCCAGATTGCCTTGTTTTCTAGCTGGAAGGGGCTTCACTGAGCTTCAATCTATTCATTTGTAAAATGAGCCTCATAAAGATGTTGTAAGGAATCAAAAATTATTGCATTTTTCCGTTCTATGACAAAGGCGCATTTCACATTTTAATTGGGATGATTCTTAAAATCAGTGGTACATCTTTTTTGGAAGTACCACATAAAATGTTGGGGCATCATACAATAAATGGTATCTTAATTTGATAAAATACATGAAGATAATAAAGGCAAAGTGCATCTCACAACATCTGGCATCTAACAAGCAACAGCAAATTGTTTTGGGGTGATGCTCAGTGCTATTGCTGTTACACCATGCTACATCACGCAGACAAGTATCTCTTTCCTCATAAATGTTCACTGATGCTCCAGCTCAAGTGAATGCAGTCCAGAGCATAGTTTGTAAAAGAGTAATCAAAGTCTTAAATGTCCTAGTTTCTCTAATCATCTAAAATATCATACTTTTAATATAAAAATAATAATAATACCTTAAAAATGAAGTGAAACATCTTTGGAATATTTATCACCTTCAAAGGACTTGCAATCCTCCTACATAATAATAGTACTATATTAATTAGTTTATGAGTACAAAGAGTCTGTACTACACATAGCACGCTGCTAGGCACCAGTGTTCCTTGTTTTTCCTAATATGACTTTGATTTGACCTAATTTCACCACAAAAAAACAGCACCATATGGAAAGTTCCCCATTTCCCCTAAAATAATTTATTGAGCCTTTAGTGTGTCCAAGTGACTGAATTCTTTTGCTGAATTTTTCTCAAGATTTCTTCAGGACATTAGAACATAATGCAGATTTTTTTCAGGTGGCCCTCTACCAACTGGATATGAAATTGGATCAGCTGGAGGCAAGAACAGATGGGGTTGAGCAGCAGATGGAAAGATCCTGTTTAGGATATGCAGAATCACTCTGGCAAAATCAATCATGCCACAGGAGTTAGTTTCAGTTTGGTGAAAGAAAATGAACTCAAGTAGACAACTGAGTTACTGGAAAATTAATACGAGCTCACACTTTAGAAAGTCTTGATTAAGTGTCAGTAAGACAGATGAGCTAATGATGTTGAATTAAAGGTCTTAAATGCAATGTTTGTCAATGATAATAATAGCTCTCCATATTTAGCATTTACTCTGTGCCAGGCATGTCATATATACATCTCATTCAGTCCTCACAAAAACCCTATGAGACAGGCATTTTTCCAGTATCACAAATGATGAAACTGAAGTGTTAAGTAAATTGATCAAGGTCATAGGACTCTGGATAACAGAACCAGGATTGGAACTTGTCTGGCCAGCTGAAAAGCCCACACAAATCATGAACCCTCTATTGTACTACTTTCCAGTGTTAAATGATGTGTATACAGAACAATTGGAAGAGTATACAGTCAATTTTCAGATATCCTGAGGTCCTTTCCACAGTAACAATTAGAACAGGCCTACGACGGTCAGAGTGACCACTGGGCATCTGCCTGAATCCTGTGGGGAATACAGAACAGCTAGGGTAGCCATATGGTCCCCAGCAAAGAAGAGGTCACAGGTATCACATACAGGCTTTGGTGAATCTCACAGAATTCCTGTAGAAACTTCACATCTCCTTACGCCGAGAAGTTCTCCCAGAATCCTGGAGCTGCCTTCCTCCAGAAGGCACCCCTTCTAGTCCAAACGTAGTGTGACGGACTTTGTTTCCATGGGGTATTCAATACATATGTGAATCTGAAATTGCGAGTGACTTGGAGTATGCACTGTCTCTGGTGTCTGGTGAGGGTGAGTTTTCTGTTCATTGATGGCTCTCTCTAGCTGTGACTTCTCTTGGCAGAGGAGAAAATTCACTCTCTGGGGCCTCTTGTATAAGGGCACTAACACCATATGTGACGGCTCTGCATCTCATGACCTACATCCCCCCAAAAGGCCCCACTTCCTAAAATCATCACTTTGGGTGTTATGATTTCAACATATTAATTTGGTAGAGGTCACATAAACATTCAGTCCACTCCATCTACTTTCTTCAAAACTGTAAGCATGCTGTAAAGAAGAGAAAATCATTTCAGCCCAAGTGTATTCTCTGTTTTAACTTGGGAGCAAGAGCAGGAAATGGAAAGAACTTATTCATTGATTGCCTACTATTTGCCAAGCATGGAAAGACCATATAATTGGTTGGAGGGGAAATAAGATAAAAGTCTGAGCAACAGATGGAAACACATCTGCCAGGTGCCATGCTCTGTATGCATTACTTCATCATATGTAACATTTTCTTGTATTAGCAAGTTCCTGCTGAATGCTAGGCTACTTTTTCTTGTCAGCCAAATGTCCAAGAAGCAGGTACTGGTTATGAATAAGCACAGTAAAGACCCATATTCTAATAAACAGAAGAGATGGCAAGTGTATCCTCTCAAAGAAGTAAATTTCGTTTTCTGCCTTATGTTTCTCAAACAAAACAAACTTTTACTGATTCCATTACCATAGCCTTGCTGTCTACACATAGATATCACAGAAATCTTGATCTTTGAGTTTTTAAGTTAGAGGAATTCTTATTCAGTATGAGAGTTAATAATCTCCTCAGACACAAATATACCTGTTAATATGAGAACAATAAATGTTTGTTGGGTGCAAACATGAATTAAAGCTGTATATGTTATGTCTTAAAGACATTAAATTAATCATAAATTATAGTGATTAATTACATTAAAACAATAGTATTATTAACACACATGATATAAGTTTCACTTTAAGGAAAAATGATATTGTAGTAATTCCTAAGTATGCCCATATGAGACACTAAAAATAATTATATGCTACCAACTGTACCTTGAAAACACGTATACTTACTACAGACACAGAAATGAACAGAATAGAACTAAAAATGGAATAAATTCTGTGACACATGATTTTTTTATTGTAATATTTCTGAAATTGGGATGCATCTCACAATCTGTGACATCTTACGGTTGCCTTTAGCCAGGTAGCAGTTGTGATGTCACAGACAATGCTTGCATGCAAGAAAACAACGTGTAAGATTCATGTTAGCATCTTACAAGAAAATACCAGAGACAATAACAGATAACTTCTGTTATTCCTAGGAACTACTTGTTTTGAAAGATGATGGGTGAGACAGTGTGTTATATATGTTTAACCTGCAGGAAGCAAATGGAAAAAAGAAATCTAATTCTATGTCATTGCCAAGTGACTTAGGAGTCTAGCACCACAGCGTTTTAGATGCTTAACAGATTTAAATGTTACATTGCACTCGCTTCAGCAGCACATATGCTAAAACTGGAATAATGCAGGGAAGGTTAGCATGGCCCCTGAGCAAGAATGACACATAAATTTATAAAGATTCCATATTTTTTAACACAAAAAATAAATGCTTCAGGGGATGGATACCCAATTATCCATTATGTGATTATTACACATTGCATGCCTGCACCAAAATATCTTATGTACCCCATAAATATATACAGCTACAATGTACCCACAAAATTAAATCAAATTAAAATTAAATTACAAATTTTTAAGGAAATATTACCTTATCTTTTGATGGCATAGGAATTTATATTTTAAAACTGTTTTATACATTATATATAATTTTATAATTATGTAATTATTTTCGATTATATTTCAATATATTTTTAGTAAATCTATAATTTAAATATATAAACATTAATTATATATTTAATGATTTTTTTTGTATTATACTTTAAGTTCTGGGGTACATGTGCAAAACGTGCAGGCTTGTTACATAGGTATACAGGTGCCATGGTGGTTTGCTGTACCCATCAACCTGTCATGTACATTAGGTATTTGTCCTTATGCAATCCCTCCCCTAAACCCCCATCCCCCGGACAGGCCACAGTGTGTGATGTTTCCCTCCCTGTGGCCATGTGTTCTCATTGTTAAACTTCCACTTATGAGTGAGAACATGCAATATTTGGTTTTCTGTTCTTGTGTCAGTTTGCTGAGAATGATGGTTTCCCATTTCATCCATGTCCCTTCAAAGGACATGAACTCATCCTTTTTTATGGGTGCACAGTATTCCATGGTATATATGTGCCATGTTTTCTTTATCCAGCCTATCATTGTTGGGCATTTAGGTTCATTCAAAGTCTTTGCTATTGTGAACAGTGCTGCCGTAAACATACATGTGCATGTGTCTTTATAGTACAATGATTTATAATCCTTTAGATATATATCCGGTGATGGTATTGCCAGATCAAATGATATTTCTGGTTCTAGACCCTCAAGGAGTTGCCATACTGTCTTTCACAATGGTTGAACTAATTTGCACTCCCACCAACGTGTAAAAGAGTTCCTATTTCTCCACATCCTCCCCAGCATCTGTTGTTTCCTGACTTTTTAATGATCACCATTCTAACTGGCAATTATATAATTAAATTGCATAGTTAATTATATATTAACTATGGTGTACATATGCCATATTTCATATATAGTTATAGTTAATATATTGACTATGCAATTTATATATAGGTGTATATATAATATATATTTATCTGTATATATACATAATATATTAATACAAAATATTTATACATAATTTTACATAATTAGGCTTCATAACTCCGAGTCAAAAACATGATTCAGACTCACTCAAAAACATGATTCAGACTCTATGTGAAAGGAAGTTTCAGAAATATACCACCCAATTTATTTTTCTTATTTTTTATGTATATATAATAAATAATTTAAAAATCTATAATCAAATTGAAAAGAGGTAGGAATGAGGCTGAGTGTCACAGACACCTGTCTGGTACCCCAGCTGGGCAAGGGACTGTGATGGCAACACAGGTGAACAAGAGGAAGGGGATGATTTGAAAACACATTCAGAAGTCATGGAGAAAAAGGTACACATCTGAAAGATGCCTCAAAAAAAGAACTGAAAGATTAGATATGGGTTACTTTTTCTTTCCATTGACTAGTGAGTCAATATAATCTATAAATCAAGTCTCTTTAGCTCTACTGACTATCATGTTCTTTTTCCCTAGCTCTCCTGTAACAGGGAACAATACACCCTTTTTCTTGTAGTGCAAGAATAATGATTTGCTGGCAGAAGCTCCGTGAATCAGACTTTGCACTGAACATGTTATATTGTTTGGGAACCTGGCTAAATTTTTCCATAACTGCTTTAAAAGTGATTTCCATTTAAAGCTAGGTGGAACAAATTCCTGCTGCCGGCTAAATCTTCTTTTTCTTTTCCTATGAACAGAATCTCATAAAAAGGACTATTGCTCTTTTGTACTTTTCTGTGATGCATTCTGTGTTGGGGTCTGTGGAGGAAGCCATCTAAAAATACACTGAGTGCTATAAAAATATCCTCGTAATTCTGCTAGAATTCAACTTTTTAATACCTGTATTTCTTCTCCCTTTATGTCTCCTTTTCAATTATTTCTTTCCCTTTGGTACTCTGCCAGATTAATGTTTCTGAGTCTTTCATAGACACCTACATTGACCAAATGGATCAATCTCCTACCTTTGAGATCCTCATTGAGCTCTGGCAGAATTTGGTGGCTGCATGAATTTAAACCCCAGATGTATGGAGAAAGAATCACTTTCAATAGAAAACCTAATATCACCACTATTTACAATTGGCTATTTTTGTAATAAACAAAAATAATGGGCATCATTTATGTCCATTTTGAGCCTGTATCTATGTTATATCAGGCTTTGCCTAATAATAATGTTGCTGTCAAGTTAATAAGGATTTAGCTTACATAAATAACGTTTCGGTTCTGTTCAGTTGGGTTTATCTTAAACTGTACAGAGGTGCTTGTTTTATTATAATTCAACTGAATCAGAAACTTTCTTTCTCTTTACTTGCTCACACTGGCTTCTAACCAGTTCATGTTTCTTTAGTAACAAGTGCTAAGTAAGCTTCACCTGGGGACTGATCCTTCAATAAGAATAATGAAAGAATTGCACCAACTACCAAGTATCATTGTTTTATTTTCAATGAAACTGTCCCCCATAAAATTGTTTCTCTCTGTGAAAAAACATGGAGCAGAAATCCAGCTAACTAGATCAGGGAGGCCCCTCCCCACCACCATCCCCACTGACTTAGAAAGTGATTAAAATATTTTAAAGCAGGAGGACCAGAAGCCAAAATGTTAGCATGGCCAAGAAAAAGTGAGCAGAGCCATGAATCAAATCATGAAGTTGTAGATTTGTATAACACATGTAAAGGGTATAATATATGTAAAGGTCAAATGTCATGCCTCATTTTAAGGGTGAAGAAATGAGGCTTGCAGGAGTTAAGTGTTACACAGCAGCTAGCGGCCAAGCCAGGCTGAGTCCCATGACCGGACTAGTGTACTGCTTGCTTCTCTGTGCAGCTGTCATCTTTAGTGGTGGTAAATGGATTAGGAGTATTGATGTGAACATTCTAAGAAATAACACAGCATCCAGGCAGTATGGTGGCTAATACCTGTAATACCTGTGCTTTGGGAGGCCAGGGCATACAGATCACCTGAGGTCCAGAGTTCGAGACCAGCCTAACTTTGAGAAACCCATCTCTAATAAAAGTGCAAAATTACCGGGGGGTGGTGGTGCGTGCCTGTAATCCCAATACTCGGGAGGCTGAGGCAGGAGAATCACTTGAACCTGGGAGGTGGAGGTTGGGCCACTGCATTCCAGCCTGGGCAACAAGAGCAAAACTCCATCTCAAAAAAAAAAAAGAAAAGAAAAGAAAAGAAAGAAAGAAACACAGCAATGACACTCAAGTATAATCTAATAATAATAATGATTTAAAATAAACATTATTATAGTGACTTCAATTGTATCCCCCAAAAGATATGTCCAAGTTCTAACCCCTGATACCTGTGAATATGACCTTACTTGGAAACGGGGTTTGTGCAGATGTAGTGCAGTTAAGGGTCTGCAGATAAGATCATCCTGGGTTTAGAAATCCACTCTAAATCCACTGACTGGTGTCCTTATAAGAGAAAGGAGAGAGAGCTTTGACACACAGAGAAGAAGGTCAAGTGAAGACCTACGTGAAGAGGGAGGAAGAGATTGAAGTTCTGTGACCACAAGACCAAGAATGCCAAGAGCCACCAGAAGCTGAAAGAGGCAGAAAAAAAAAAAAAAAAAACCTCCTCCCCTGGAGCTGCAAAGGGAGTGCAGCCCTGCTGAGGCCTCGGTTGTGGATTCCCAGCCTCCAGAGCTGCGAGCGAGTACGTTTCTGTGGTTTTAAGCCATAGAGTCTGTGGCCATTTGTTACAGCAGCTTTAGGAAACTAACACCACTATGAAAACACACAATCTACAAAGCAATGCAGGAAGAAATTTTTATTGTCCCAGTACTTTGTTGTTGTCATTGTTGATTTTAACAAAATATAACTCAAATGACAGTTCTTTGAACTTTTTAGTTAAGAATAATTACACACATATTAGCTCCCCTAAATGTGTTTTAGCCTAAAGACCCTATCAACATTTAATATTATATAAAAGTCCTCAGCACCGTGTCCTCCCAGCCTTCCCCTTCCCCCAGTATTCCAGCCACACTGGTCTTCTCTTTGGTCCCAGAGCATGCTAGGACCCTTCTCACCTCAGGCTTCTATATGCTTCTCCTGTGTCTGGCACACTCCTCCCTGACCCTTCACATCCTCCCCAGTCTGAAATCAGCTCCCAAAGTACAATTCTCGAAGAAGCCCTCCAACCCCTTTATCATAGATTAGCCCCACACATACACCCTTTCCCTCTTCTTGACAGTCATGATCACTGTTTGTAATTCTTAATTTATAATATTCCTGGATTGTCTATCTTTCTCATTGAACTGTTGCTCTCTGAGAGCAGCCACAGGATGTTTTGCTCATCATGACATTTCAGGAGTAACATGATGCCTAGTGTATAGCAGGCACTCATAAATATTTAGAAAATAAGTGAATGATAGTATTTAGCCTTGGATGGTGCTCTTGTCTGTTATTTACACTTATAGCTGTTCTGTTTCCAATATATAACATTGAAATTGTAGAAAAATCTGCACATAGTCTTAATTCCAAAATTAATTTATTTTAGTAACCTCTAAATTTTTCTTCTCTGAATTTCTAAATGAATTCTTGAAAGTTCTGCTCTGTCCCAAAGGCATTTCATAAATAAGTAAGAATAGCTAAAAAGGACTCAAACCTGTTACATTTTACCATGCCATCAGCTTTCGTGGATAGGCCAATTTGCTCCAATTAGTATTATTCATTTGTATAAATAATAAGCATGTTGGGTACTGTATTAGTCCATTTTCATGCTGCTAATAAAGGCATACCTAAGACTGGACAATTTACAAAAGAAAGAGGTTAATGAACTAACAATTCCATATTGCTGGGGAGGCCTCACAATCATAGTAG